GCAATTTTAAAATTCCTGCAATAGCTTGAAGAAAAGAAACGAAATTATTAACAAAAAAAGCACTTTAGGAGACAGCATGGTAGAAGGGAATTATAGAAGCGGAGTGATCTGAGTCCTGAACAATGCAGGAAACACCACACAAGAGCCTCATTCTCCATGCAAGCAACTGACAACAAAAGCAGCTGGCACCTTCTTAATAATTCCACAAAACTTTTTTTTAATTGCCCCAAATGCTTAATCTTTACATACAATGTACCAACTTTGAGTTATGAAAGGAAATCAGCAATTTTTGTCCTGTTCTCTTTAGTGTGACATTGCAATACAGTTACTGGTTTTCAAGGTGAAAGTGTACATATTGCCTAGGCTATGGCATTCCCATGCAGCTCTTGGCATTACTGTACCACGTTCAGGCAGCAAACAACCTTTCACCACCACCACTCAGCAAAGCAACATCTTATTAGCAACGCACAACTGTAAGGAGAACCTAAACATAGAGGCATACAACTGTAAGAAGCCTAGCTTTCTATTCCAAGGGCTGGACTCACACGGAGACAAATAACCCTACCCACCAACAATATTCTGAAAAGTGACACAGTTTAAAAGCCACTAATGAACAAGGAACAAAAGCTGTTAATGGCATATGGATCTTTATCTACAGAGCTAGTTTATCAACAGAGCAAAAACTCTAACGGTCAACAAATAAAGTTACTTCATAGTTATGGAAGTGCTACAGTCTAAGCCTCCACAAAGCCAGTACACAGTCATGCCTCTTGAACATAACAGCAGGGACATGGTTACTACCACCAGAGACAGTCAACAGCCTGAAAAACTATTCAAACACGTACAAAAACGTATCACCAAATAACTTCACGAAGGATTCTGATCTTAAACAGTTTTAAGCCATAGAACAAATGACACTCATAAGCAGTAAGCCGTCTTAAAAAAACAGAATAAGGCTCAATAAATAAATTATTACAGTATCACATATCAATAAGAACTAGAACTATGCCTGTCCTGCCTAACATGCCGCTTCTAATCTTTGGAAGCGTCAACGTTAAATGATCCACAACAACACCTGCAAAAGCAAAATTAAAAAATACAACCCTATACATCGCAGCCTTTCATTCCCATTTAATCTTCCAGTAACCACGCCAATACGTTTTACAGAAGTAAAACGCCTCGGTGCTGTCTACATGAGTATCTCTGCCCCAAAGAGTAGGAACACAGAACCACAGGCTCTGGTTGGAAAAGACCTCTGAGATTCACCGAGCGCAGCCTGTGACCAAACACCACCATGCCAACTAGACCATGGCACCGAGTGCCGCGTCCAGTCTTTCCTTACACATCTCCAGGGACGGCGACTCCACCACCTCCCTGGGCAGGGAGGCCGTTCAGGCCAGGAAAAAAAAAAGGGGTGACAATAAGCCGGGGGGAATCCTCCGGCATCCAGGGCCCGGCCCGAGCGCGGCCGCTCCTTCCCGAGGCTCCCCCGGCCCGCCACGACACCTGTTCGGCGGCGGCCCCGCTCCCCGCTCCCCGCTCACCGCCGAGCGCCGACGCCTGCAGCGTGGCCCCCGAGGTGCCGTCGATGACTTTGATGGCGCCGCGCGCGGTCACGGCCAGGATGGCGTTGAGCGCCGGGTGGTAGCACAGGCTGCAGAGCCCGTCGGCGTCGCAGCGCAGGCAGCCGTCCCGCAGCAGCAGCCACTCGCAGGAGCCCGGACCGGGACCGGGCCCCGCCGCCGCCGCCGCCGAGGAGCAGGAGGCCGCCGCAGCCATCTTCGCGGCCGCCGCCGCCGCCGCCCTCAGGACAAGAGGCCCGCGGAAAGCCGCTCACTGACAGTCCCTAGAGCCGCCGCCGCCAGTCACCATCCGGGTCCGGGGAGAGGGGGAAAGGGAGAGCGCCCGCGTGAGCGGGAAGTGACACAGCCGCGCCGGATGCGGAACCGAGCGGCCGCGGCCCGGCGGGGGGCGGGGGCGAGGGGCCGCTCCGCGAGGGCCGGGCCGGGGCGGGGCTGCGCTGCGCGCGTGCGCGCCACCCACCGCGCCCGCCCCGTCCTGGCCCCGCTCCCGCGGCGATCCCCGCCCTCGGTGATCCCCGCCCTCGGCGATCCCGGCCCACGGCGGTCCCCGCCCGCGGCGATCCCGGCCCGCGGCGTTCCCGGCCCGCGGCGTTCTCGACCCGCGGCGATCCCCGCCCTCGCCGCTGCCGTGTCGTTAGCGCTTCGGACAAAACCTAGGTCGTAAGCGGGCGAGCGCGTTCGCCGCCCCCCGCCTCGGGGAAAGCGGAGAGGGGATCTGTGTTCCATACCCCGGCTCTCACACCGGTTGTATTTTTGACCTCTAGTGTGCGAGAGAGCCGCGGTGCCCGTGGGCTCAGCGGCGGTGCGCAGTGACAAAGCCGCAATGCCTCTGCCCCGCGGAAGGCACGCTGCCCTTGGAAAGGGAGTCCCTGGCCCCTGGCCGGGAGCACGGAGCCATTGCACCCACGAGCGCATTCTACGCTGAAGCAGCGCTTCAAAAATTACTTCAGCTTAATAAAACATTTTGTATTTTGTTGAGATTTTCCCTTTTCACGCACTAAAATACCAATTCAGTTTGTATAGCTCAGCCTACCTGTACGCGTTACTTTATCTGCCATAGGCTTTACTTGATCTAAGTGACATTTTATACTCAAATATTTCACAAAGCTTTTAGGCTACTGATGGCCTTAAAGCTAATTTTCAAAGACAAAGTTTTCTACGGAATATTTCTATTAAGATGCAAATTAGCACAGGTTGCCCTAGCAGGGAAATTTTTAAAGAAATACAGTGTGTGAAGAAAAAATAAAAACCAAACCCACATAGGCATGTGTGCCACCCAGGCTAATCAAAATTGTCCTGAGAGCAAAATGAGCAGCTTTTAAGCCTGCTGTAATACTTCAAGCAAAACATTGAACACTACTAAGGGTAATGATAAAATTACAGCAGATCTCAACCTGTATGTTGTCTCAACAATGGATTTCATCAACTTTTCAATTAAGTGAAATTTTTCTGATAAACAGCAGCGTTATGTCTGATGGGTAGAAGAGGAAACAAGATTGACATATCTAGCTGCTCTCTACAGAAAGTTCAAAATACATGTGTCACCAAGGTGTGATACCCATGTCACCACCCCAAATTGAGGTTTTGCATCTTACAGAGGCAATTTTTTTGCTAATTGGATGTGCTCTAAATTTCCAATTTTGACAGACTGAAGTAGTATGTTGATTATCACAAAAACTTATTTATAGCCTCAAAGCTACTGATGCTATGTATAGCTTCAATATATTGGTAGCATGCACAGGAACATGGATGTGTCTTATTCATCAATATTAATTATTCACTATTAAGTCAGTAAATATAAATGAGCTTCATACATTCTGTAAACAAGTTTAATTCAAATTTTTTATAAAATACATCTTGTATTTACACACATACCTCATCTAAAAATATGAGTTTGTTGAATGCAAAGTTATTACAAACTATCAGAATAATTTGAGAGCTGTTTGTATGTTTCTTGCACAACATATGCAAAAAGTGACCCTAAAGATACTGAGATTAAAAGGTGCAAATCTGCAATTGGGTACAAAATATGTACTATGTTAAGTGCATATCTACATTGCATATTACACATGTGCCAAGTCTGTGGAAAGGAACAGTTAAAATTCCAACTATAAATTTCACAGAGCATTACTGGAAAGGGAGGTATTTGGAGATTCAACAGAACATTCTTGCATCCTTTCGATATTCATAGTCAGTTGAGATGCACAGAACACCTCATGAACTAGGCAAACAGGAACTAAGCTTAAAGCTGTCTGACAGCCTGGTAACCTAAATGTGTTCCTGCCCTTCACCTTTGTGGGGACAGAAGTTCAACAGATTCACAGAGGCTGGGTGGAGTCTTATAATAATAGTTGGATATTCCTGTTAGAAAAAGAAATATAAGTAATGAAAATAAGAAGTAAAACCAGATTAGTATGAAAGATTCCAAAGCTAATATGCCTTTTTTTAATACAATGTAACTTCTTTTTTAATACAATGTAACTTCCTTTTTTTTTTTAATAGAATGGAGTATGAATGCTCTCAAAACACTTCTAGGTAAGGAATTAGCTGCTGCTGGTATAAATTGATTTAGTACCACTTTGCATTAATTCCACCACAACTTACTCAGGAATCAAAAATCGGGTGAAAAGTCAATCATTCTACCAATTTTTCTCTTTTTATATATTACAAGCTCAAATATTACACTACAATTTATGTCCAGCACTAACTTCAAGTGGTTCTGTTTAAAACCAACACAAGTATCAGCCAGGAAAGCAGACTGAATAAGCTAAAGGTTTGTGGGAGAGCTGGAATTTATTTATGTATTTTGCATCAGTAATGACTGGTAAAAATAAATTACCAAGCTGGCTAGTTCCACAGTCTAAAAAGCTGAAAAACTACAGTTTTGATATAGAAATATGTCCATCAGGGACCCAAGAGTGCCCTTGCTATTACCTTGTCATGGCTGATTTTTATTTGTAGCATTAAAAAAAAAGGATGGGGGGGTAAGGGGGGAGAATGGGAAATGCTTTTTTCTGTTGCAGAAAAAAAAAAAACAAACCTTCAGAGCTATATGTTGATACTGAATCCTGAAGATTGCAAATGCCTACGTTAGTACCATACAAAGTGAACTTCAGTGGACTTCCCTTGTGAAGAAATATTACCATAAGGACCATTATATAAGCAATCAACACAGTACACAGGAAATATTTAACATGTCATCACATTATTACATAATCCTTGGAGAGTCAAAATTAGCAAGACTCTAACTGTTACTAAGGCTGTAACTCTGCCTCATTTAGTGGAGGGAGAATCTGGCCTTCCAAATCTTTCCTATTTCTCTTTACAAGGGATTAATAGTGTTAGTGAAAATTAAAAAAAATAAAAAAAGGATGCATGTTAAATACCATGCTATTAAAAGCAAAACAGAGCAAGATGTTGTAAAACATAGTTAGGGAAGCAGTATTTTTATTTTGTCATCATAAAATAACATTGTTTAAAGATCACACAAATTTGATAGATCATCTTTTTTTTCTCCAACATTAGGCCAGCACTAGAGTTGAGAAAGGTGTTCACCCATTTCTCTGTAAATTTATACTTTTAAGTAAAATAATTTGATTCTCTAAATATGCACTTTAATTAATTATGTCATACAGTAAATATCTTGCTCCTTTGGTCAGAGATAGTAAATGAAAACTTCAAATACTTCTATCTTCAATTTTTAAAAACCCAATATACATCCTTAACCAAGGAGTACTTACGGTACACACAAGCCATAGATACAAAATACACAGTATATACATGTTTTGAAAAGAAATTGGAATTTATAAAAACTCAACAGCCAAATCACAGTAATTGAGGCACTAAATTAAAAGTAGTATCTTCTTGGATCTTGATTATACAGACTATTCTGTGAACAATCAGGACTGTTTCATAAATATATATTATCTACAGAATTTGCTGTGCCAAAAAAAGCCAGCTGTGTTTAAGCTCAAAAGAAAAATTGCACTTTGAGATTGTTAACAGTTAACTTCTCATTTTTAATTCTTGAATATAGTAATCTGGTCCCAGTGCTTTTGGCACAGGTATTGAACTGCAGTTTTGCTACGCTTTGTTATAAAACACAAGGTTCTTTTATTTTGTTCATTAAAATCTGAAGAGTCTTAAACAAACCTAGAACTTTGATACAAATCTATATAGCTACAATTGCTTCATTAAATAATATACACAAATATGCTCTTCCATCTTAAAACATCTTGACAACTGGATACAAAACAGTCACTTGTATTATCTCCAGCCTTCTTAATCTTACACACTACCAGTCTGCAAGTGACTGAAATATGGTTTCTGGCCACATCTTACACTAGATCACACCCCAGTATACAAGGACAGAAAATAAATGTATAATAAAAAGATTGGATAAATTAGAAGGGGTTTCTTTGTCTTGAATTCTTCTCCAACTAGTAATGATGCAGCACTGTATGCAGCCCAAAAGACTCCAAACAACTGAAAAAGAAGATGAACAGTCTTAGCTGACACCACAACAAAGTCTATCCAAATACCACAGTAAAAACCACTTTTCTCAGTACAACACAGAGCCAGCCATAAGAAATAGCAGTTGTCACAGCCCAAGAAGTTTTGGCCATTTGAGGTTTGTAATGCATTTTCATGCTAGTGGTACAAAGACAAGAACCTGGCAGAGATTCACCCTGAAGTCAACATAAGGCTGTTAGTAGTAATCAAATAACAGAGGTTTCATGAACATATATTTATTTTGAAGTTATATATTAGTTAACTGGAAAGTTAATGATTTACATTCTATCATTTATCAGTAATCACAGATTATCAAATCTCAAATATAGCAATTTTGTTACTTATCATACACTTTAGTTGTACTTCAATTATACTGTTTGCCAGCAAGCTAAAGGGACAAAAATAATGAAATCAACAGAACAAACCTCCAGAAAGTGTACAGCTTAGCTTATAACAGAATTTTATCAGTTAACTTTCCCAGCCTCTGCAGTAACGTCAAAGGCTACCTAAAGGGGTTTTAAGAAGTACCGGAAGTGTTCAAGAGTGTTATGCTGTTCTGGGATCTTTTAGGGAATGTTGCTGGTTCCATAAAAGGTGTCCAGCAGCAGGTGGTATCAGGCAGGTTATTCTTTGTGCCTTACACTCCCCATCTCCAAATCAGATCAATCCTTACCTTCTCTGCAAAGGGTATGGAGAGCTTTGTACTGCTACCACTATGGGGAGGTCTCAGAACAATGACTAACGTCATATTCATGCTGCAGTGACTAAAAATAATCTGGATGATGGGGGAAGGGAGAGAACAGCTTATTTTCAGATTCTTCATTCTGAGGTTTAATTATGCATTCTCGTCTCAAAATGAGAATCCCATCTTTTTTGTAATGCAACTATTAGAGCACAGCAAAATACAAAATACAAGCTACTCTAGTAACAACAGGTGCTGTTATAGCAACAGCACTGTATATCCCCAAGCACTCAAATGGAGCATTTAAAACCACATTCACTTTCCACCGTGTTAACCAAAAGGACTGCAAAGCTCACTTTGTAGTTCTGAAAATTTTGACACATGATTTTCCTGAGCAGATTACTTGAATATTAAGAAAGTGACTTAAAAATAACTAAATTCTCAATAGATGATATGAACTTACTTTTATTAGAGTAGAAACAACTTCAAATGATCCAACCACCAAAAGTACAGGTGCTATGACAATGAGGGGAAGTAGGGAATATCCTATTACACCAAGAACTTGGCCATAAGCAACCTGAAATTTTCAAGCACATAAAAATAAGCTTTTCAGTACTCAATCTCTGTCACCAAATACAATTTGTTCTTGTAATAACACTATGAAAAATTATTATGATGTGTTATACTCATGAAATTTCAGCTAAAGCAGGCTTGCTAGTGTAAAAATTGGTTTTGTATGCTAAATCCTAAAATTAGAAATACGTTATCTTTTTTTTTTCCCCAAAACACTTTAAATGATCACTTTCAAACGAAGCATTTACATATCATACCCAGAAGCATAGAACTGCAACAGACCTCTCATGGACCAGCTGTAGTCCTGGTTATCAAAAGCAGCAAAGACATAATTTTCTGCATCAACATACTCATATCCATGATACATAAATAAACACATAAAGCACATGAATGTTTCTGGTGTCAGTGGAAGACTTAAAACTTGATCCCTGTAAGGTACAGAATTCTGACTTCCAGCTTCATTTTATTATGATTATCTAGAATAGAGTTGTTCCAAGTACTTCCATAACTACTTTTAGCTTCAGAAGGAAATGTCTGATTTTCCCCTGCTATGGTCTGAGATGCTTCTGTGCACAGCTAGGCTTCTTGGATTTAACAGGAAAAGAAAGTAGTGGCATCTTGTAAGCATTTTCTTGTGGATGATGATACTTCATGACAAGCTCTGCAAACCTGTACTTCTTCTCCACTTTATACATCTGGTAATTTTCCATTTTGAGACATAAACCAGATTGATTTAAGGGCATCTCGATTGTGTTGAAATGCAGAAATACCATGCAATTACATTTATAAGAACTTTTTATTTTAAAGCAGCATTCACACAAGAAGACTTTAGCAATTATGATTAAAAGGAAAGTTTAAATAAATAACACAGGACTTCTGCAACACTGGTGCATCATTAATGGAATATCCATAGCAAAAGTATAAAAATCAAGCATCACTGACTATTTAGTTCTTCACAACACAGTTCAATGCATTTTTTGCTGCAGATCCATTTTAAGAAGTTTTATCCTCCTGACTGTTCCACTGCAGCTGTGGGCCTTGCTCTAAGTAATATTTTGTTGTTTACACCTGAATCACTTAATCAGTCAATCTTTAAACAGCTCAAGCTGCTATTCCAACCCTGCTGGTGCAAGCAGCTGGAGGAAGGGATGCAGGCCACAACTCCAGTTGGCTTTGCAGTTGAGAAATGCTCTAGCTTTCATACTTTAATGGGTTTCAACTGCTTTCAGGCCATGGATGAAAACAAACACTGGCAGGTGCTTTACACACAAGGACATCAAACTGCTGTTAGCCTCCCATTAAAAAAACCCAAAAGTTTAGTCCATTTAGTCCAGTGACCAAAAACTTGAAAGCATTTCTCCCTCAAGAATGGACTTCAGTTCAGGATCACAGGAAGCTGTTAGAATTTCTGGGATTCACAGCAGAAATTTCCCAACTGTTTATCACTTCCAAGCATACCAGCCATTGCACCAAGAGATTAGCCGACAATCTCTGTATTTTAAACTTCATTTTGGAGACTGAAAACCTGAAACGTTACTTTACACTTAGCACCTGCAGCCATTCATAGCTGGCTATAAGATCCAAACCCAAGCACTATGAAAACCCAACTACTGCTGAGAAACATCATCAAGAGACTTTACATCACCTCTCTCTACATCCTTTTCCCACACAGGTACTTACTTCTCCTCCAAGAACTCTGGCCAGTAAAAAAATTGTCAAGGATCCAAATATCCAAATAGTTATAATCCAAGAAACAACCTTGAAAGATAAAAAACAATTCATTTATATGAGTAATTGTCATTGTGAAAAAGGAAAATCCATTTCCATAATTGCTTTCACTGCAGTCAAGGATTTTATTACGCAAAATTGACTTCTGAATTGTGGCAAGAATAGTGTTTAGTATCATAGTGTAATTACCAAATTAAGTTCAAGAGTTACATTTACAGAATCGCGTTAATGGTAAATCTGGTGTACACAGAATGCACATGCAATGTATTCTGTAAGTATTGTAACAGGAATAGGAAGTTGAGTTAAAACTACCCTAAATGTCTTCACTTCCCACCAATTACAAAATAAGGGCTCAGACAGTTTTTAAGTCAGCCCAACCAATACAAGGAGTTGGAATTCTCCTTCTTTCATTTATAAAGATGCCACTTTATCCTTTTTTACTCAAACTGAGAATGCTCAGAAGACATAGGACTTTAATTCTCAGTGGAACTTGATGATGATGACAACTTAATAAAGAGCCTCAGATTCCTGGGACCAAGTCTATAATTATTTTTTCTTGCTTCTCTCATAGTTCTGCTCTTACACTACAGAAGAAATCCTAAAATCATTCTAAAAAGAACCTTCAAATTAACTTAGCTGGTTTTGGTGTTGAGCCACTGGGAAGACTAGAAGTAAAGCTCTCTTTTCTGAAACACCTTTTTAGAAGGAAACAACAGTCTAAGTCCAGTCTCTGTATTTCCAAACATACATGACTGAACTTAAAAAAAATTATCTCAGTGCTCAGTTCAATACTTTGCTTAATTAAAAGTTCCTTATTTCCAGAAGAATGAAATTGGAAAAGCCAGGTAAAAATCACAGCAGCACAAAAAAAAAATAGTGGCTTTATACTATTTGTGAAAATAGCACATAGCCTCCTTTTACTTCCTGTTTTTCTTCACTGACTAAAAGAAGAGGACCAGATTAAAGTCTTAGAGTAGAAGTGCTCATCTCTCTCCAGTTTAGAGCCCACCTTTGGGTTCATCTAGTCCAGCTGCTGTCAGTCATCCTGTTTCTGGCTGCTAGCTTGCCCTCCTCATACATATACAGCATATTGGATCCATATGGTAAACCCATTGTTCCTAAGAAACATCAGACCCAGTGCTGCTGTACAGGAGGTACACAAACTGCAGGAGGTGATTCATTTGTCACAGGGTCAAGGAATGGTCCTTGCTTTGCCAAAGAGACAGGTGAGTGATCCACCCAGAAGCCTTGAACAATAAAGTGGTTTAGTCTACTCACTTCAAGCTTCATAGAGACAAGATACTGAGAGCAAATTCTTAGTCAGCATTTGGTACACCATATGGAAGCCAGAGGTCCCAAAGGGAATGATTTTATCCCACCATTCACAAGAATCCTTGCATAAGCACATTCTGCTGGTTTACATATGGCTTACTGCCATACTTGGTCACATTTAAAACAACTGTAACCACATATTTAGTCATAAAGATTTCCAATGCAGGAGGACATAGGCTTATATTCAAATTGTTATTATAAATGATAACACTATTTTAATCAGAACATAAAGAAAAACACTAACAGTGTTTATAGAAGTCAATTAAATATGTACAATGCCTCTGAGTACTATTCACCCTGGAGTTCAAAAGGAATTATGGAAAAAGTCTATTGACCAGAGGAAAGTTAAACTGAGCAGGGATGACAAAATAGCAAACGTCACGAATGAAGATTAAATATACCAGATAACAGGGGTCATATAGTATAAATTAAATAAGCAGCTTTATTTGTCAGGAAATTAGAATTCATGGCATCCTAACAAATGCTTTTCGCTAACATTTTTTAGCAATAAAAAGTAAGTTAACAAAAGGTTACAATTAAAATGGAAAGATTCACTAACATGACTATAAACCCATTAGTATCAATCTGGTTCCTCTAGAAACCACATCTTTCCTTTGTTTTACTGTATAAAAACAAACCTGACATTTCATCATGATTAACTTACCCGTGGGCTACTTAATACATTCCTAACTGCTGTCTTTCTACATATTAACTTGAAAAACAGCACTTGAAATGCCCCACATTAGTATGTGAAAAAAAAGACTTTCTACCTACGTAAGAATGCAAATTGCTTAGCAATCACATCCCCAAATTTAGTTCAGATTTCTTTTTAGGCAGAAGATTTATACCTACCTTAAATTGTCCATATAATGAAATCATTGAGAAGAAGAGGACAACTGCCAGAGGACCCCAAAAGTCTGGATTGTCTCTCACTACCTGCCTATTGAACCCAAGAGATGGCATAGGCATCAACACACATCGAATTTTGTAGTAAATATCCTTCAGATCAATGTCGAGTTCTTCCCTGAAATTGTAAAGCAAGTGAGCATTACTATACACCACAGGAATGAAACAGAGCTAAAAAACATAAGTACAGGGGCAAACAGTAGGTTTATAGAGCAAGTCTCCTCACAAGGCTTTCTGAAACCACGACTGGCAAAGGAACAGTTTGTCTGCAGTAAAGCAACACCATACCTTCATGCAGCATTCAGTAACTGGTGGGACACAGAATTTTTAATTTCTCACAAACAGATTACATGACTGAGAAGAGAAAACATACACAGCATATCCAGACCAGGCTAGGTGCGGCTCTGAGTAACCTGGACTGGTGAAAGGTGTTCCTGCCCAAGACAGGGGATGTGGAACTGGATGATCTTTAAGGTTGCTTCCAACCCAAACCTTTCTATGATTCTGTGATACCCTGAGAGTCTGCATTAAGATAGGACATCTATTTTTCAGACACACTAGGACAAGTGACACATTCGTATCATTGTAACTACAGGTCAAAGACATGCATACATAAAGAACGTCTGTGTATTCCTATGCCAGGCAGTTTGCCATGAGCACACTCACTGTGAAAATATTTTATTTCAAATTCCACAAGAAAGAATACAATTACATTCACTAATCTTAAACAATTCCAAATACATCACATAAAACCAACTTTTTAAAAGAAAATGAAGTTTAGCTCCCTTCAAGAACAGTAGTTTTCAATAGACCAGTTTATGCCTATTGTTTAATTTCTGTCTTGTTTCCACTGGGCAAAATAAATAGAAGTCACTTGGACTAGCAGCAATATGTATCAACAGATCTTCCCCTTCTCTCATTGCCTTCTCTGCTTCCTGTTACAAACTCTCCACAAGCAGATACAAATTGGCCAGAAGACTCTTCTGCCCAGGACTCTAAGCTGGTACATGTTACTCTGACTGTCCTAGCCTAATGGGGTTCTTTATGTGCAGAACTTCAGTCATAACTGAGGAGCTCTGGAGAGTTGCAAGACACTTCCAGCAGATATACTGCTCTACATTTAAGAACACAGTGAAGAAAAATGTAGAAATATATCCTTGGTCCACTTTTGAAAGTTTTGTCCATGGCCTTGATATTTTGTCTTTTTATTCAAAAAAGCTGAAGTGAGAAATAAATGCAAAGACATGATTCACCACAATTTCTCTTTAACAAAAAAAAGAGAAAAAAATTAATACTGCTAATTCAGTCCCCCAAGGCAATTTTTAAATTATTATTACTAAAACTGCTTCAGGAGTGGTATTACTAACTGGTGACTAAGTAACAAAAATTGTTTTTTAATCATATCTGAATCTAAGGAATAGACTAGAAGCATCTATTTGACTTCATTTGTCTAAAAATGATGTAGCAAGACCTATACTTTACTCTGAAGACTATGTAGCAGAAGTATTTTCTGTACGGAAGTACTTATTTCTCGTTGGCTAGGTCTTCTGACAGTTTCTCATATGAATAAATTGTCTTTTGCACGAAGCTGACAGCTACCTCACCTGAAAGTGATGGTAGCTGTATCAGGAAACAAGTGTCTGGAGCAAGGCTGCCCAATGAAAAAATGAAAAAAAATAATCTCACTTTATTGAACAACACATTTGCACAGTAGCACTGCATTTGTGAACTTCCCTTAGCAGGCTACTGTTCTTTCAATCCTTAATAGGATTCAGATTGCAAGAATTCATTATGACACGTTTCTGGGAATAATCAAAACAACAAAATTACACAAAAGTCAGAATTTCTATGTTGTCACCTCACTACACCACTCTGTTTCTTAATTAAAAGTTTGATGTCTACAAAACAGACTTATTCACACAAGGAGCTACTTCTGCACACTTTAATTTAAACCACTTCCCAAGTATCAATGTCACTATTAACCTCTCCAGACATCTGTTGTCTCCCAACAGTCATATCTGAGTTCTCTGTCTCACTCCAACTTTTTAAAGCATCATTATGTTTAATTCACAGGAAAACACTGAGAATGAATATGCTGAAGTGTGAAACAAGGACCAGGCTGCCTGACTCAGTGTAGTAACCTTAAGATACAAACTTATTTCAGCCAACCACCTCTCTGTGAACAGAACAGGGAATAGGAGACTTTCAGTTTTAAGGACATTATTGTCCCTCAGCACTAGCACCTTTTTAATCTAGCTTTATAGTAAAAAGCAGCATCTAAAATTACAAAGTTTTTGCTGCCTTGGTTCTAACATCCCTGCTGTACTAACCATGATTCACAACGCTTTTGCTTCAGAATAACTGACAGAATTGACTGAGATTCACTTAACGGGAATCTTCCCACATGGTTGTCTTAGTCTTTGATTCTTTCACAACATCAAGAAACATGAATGCAAAATATACAAAGAATTGAGTGTCATTTTTTAAAAACCATTACAAGATCAACAGATGAAAGCAGAAAAGCCATATAAGCTTTACACTTAACGGAGATTAAAATCCATAATGAGAAACAATGTTTCCATTCTTGCACCAGAAAACACTCGTTAGTCAAGGAATTTGTCAAAGAGAATTCTAGTCACAGCACAAGGCTGTGGGACAATCAGAGATTAGAAGTTGTTTGTTTTCTCTACACAGCTAATAAAGATAAGATACCCAAAAATAATTACAACATACAGAAGTGGCTTGTTATCTTCTGGGTCATCATCTTCCACTTCCAGAAGCCAGCCATATCCTCTCTGTCTTAGGAATGTAGTCGCAGTAGATTCTTTGATGAATTCTCCTCCAAGATTTAGCTTAACATCTGGAGTTGTTATGGAACCACTAAGATCTAAACAAAAAGGGAGAAAAAGATAGACCTTTTTATGTCTTGCCAAAAGCCATTTAATTTTAAAAGTACTGGAAGATAAACAACAAATATATGAAGCTACATATGTTGGTCATCACCGTAAAACATTCAAAGATACAAAATAAAATTATACTTTCACAGATACATAATTAGAAAGTGTACTTGTGGTTTTATTGTAACAGTAACAAAGTTGGGTTAGGTCTCAAATACCAGGTTTTAGCTGTTAGATGGGACTTTTATGACATAGTGTTGTGGTATAGCAGAAAGGCTCCTACTTGTGCTTTATCATTAAGTGTTTAAAGGCACAAAAGGAGGAACTAATGAGAGTCTCATCATGCTATAAATTGTGGATTATTTACAATATTTTTCTGATCATACTCTACCCTTTTTGGTGCCCATTTTTTAATAGTGGCGTTGTTTTAGCCAATACCACTCTCTGCTTTTATGTCAAATTTTTCATAAAATAAAAACATTTGAAGATGCTTTAATTTGTAGCCTGCCTTCAAGGCAGCTGAAAATGTTAGAGAAAAAGTGCTATCAGAGATCCTTAGGCTCTAGACAATAAGAAGTAATATAAGTTCTCTTTGATACACTATGATATTTCTCTACCACAGTACTAAACAAAACAAAGAGCAATTTACCTATGTTTATCTATGGTTTTGGCAAAATCACCAATAAATATTACATTTTTGCCCATTTTATTCAGTTATGGAAAAGAAAAAATAGTATAGGAAAATAAATGAAGGAAATAACTTGAAGAAAAAAAAATATATATGAAGGGAATAATTATTCTCTTATGAAATAATGGATTTCCATTATCTGCTAAAAAAGAAAAATCCAAACAGAAATGTGTAAATATTTTGTACAAGCTTACTATAAATATATTGAGAGATAAAGAAAATTTTTTTTGCCTTTTCATCATTATGTGTTTTTCACACATTAAAGTTCCTCAGCACAATCTCCCATCTAACTATAGCAAGTACTTCTGAAACATACTCACAGAGGCACGTCAGACCATATTTGTAGATTACATTTGCAACATCCTCTTTGGAAATATTAGTGTTACAGAAACAAAATTTGTACAGTGACAGAATCTCAATGTCTTCAGCAGACATGTCTTAAGTGTTCATTGATCATTCAGTATCACAATTATTTCAACGGAATTCTCTTTCCCAGATCAGCTTTCTAGGCCACTCATTCAAGTTTCTCCATAAATGCTTTTCAACTGTTTCATAATCGTGAGAGTTACTGATCTTTTGATTCTTGGAACATCATCTGCACAGGACCCTTCTAAGGATCACTGTAACTTAAAGCAGGAATTTCTCTTTGCTCTTCCCAGTCTCAGCACGCATACACCATTCTCACCAGACTCAAGCAAAGCCTTCCTCTGCTGTTTACAGAGGGAGGAAAAATCTTAATGTCTGGGCATCAAGCTGAAGCCTCTGAAGTTTTCTCTTGACTACGGGACCCTTCTGTCTTTAAGAAATATTTGTTTCTGCTACAACATAACACCTTTCAGCCAGGAGAGGTTCTTGCTACTCTGTGCATACATGCAGCTGTCCAAAGAAGTAAACATAGCAGTCCAACCAGCCATGTATTTCTCCTTTCTCAGGGACTGCTAACAATCCATCCTGAGGCACGGGAACTTCCACACAAGTTGTATTTACCAAGACTCCTCTTAGCAGTCGATGAATACCTGCAACCACACTTTTGAATTATAAAATCTATTAACATGATCTTAGGTCTGTTCTGTAAGACAATGCTGCAGAAACCTAGAGGAAAAGGGATTGGTCACCTCCTCTTCTGCAGGCTGCTTTGAATGAGATTTTTAACTGCAGGGCAACTGGGCACTGGAAAATCTGCCATGAAGGACTGATGACACTGATGGCTCCTAGTGAAAGTCTGGGTGCCTTCACTGCCATGTCTCAGGCTGAACACCATAGAAGCAAAATCAGGGTCTCTCAGATTTCATTTCAACACAGCATTGTCGAAAACCAGCTTTCAAAACAGTCTTGACTCTAAATTTAAAAAAACAAAACAGTACAAGAGGCAAAACCCAGAGCAGTCTGCTCTTTCTACTGTGTTTGGTGACCTAATTGTGAACATCTCTCCAGTTTCCTTACATACAGCTCCTACATCCCACAGAAATAAGATGGGGAAACAAAACAGCTAATTTTTATTTTTTCATATGGATTGAGATTTGGGAAACATGCACAAATTAGAATGCAATGTGTAGTATTTTAATTTTAAAACATCAAGATGTTTAATTTTGCTTATGTTATTCTTTGCTATGGTAGGTCCATCCAGCACTTTGAGGACAGGACTACACTTGAACAGTCAGGAGATCACACCTTGCTTGTATCCATAAAAAACATGGAGCCAAGTGTGATTCAACACAACCGACCAGAAAGGTGGCTTTACTGGACTGGGTTCAGCATTGCCCAACAAACACTTCCAGGGAAGAAGCAGAGAGCTTCTGCTCAGAGGTACTTGGATCCATTTTCAGGCCAAGGTGAAGAAAAAACAAAACAAAGGAAAACTAACCAGTCAAAAAACCCTCAGCACCAAAAACCCCACAGCCACGACTGTACTGTTGACTTGCATTTCTTTTCAGAAGGACTGTGAAGTTCCCTAAAGAACAGGTATTCTATAGTCATTTCTGCATTTCAGCAATTCTTTTCCAGGGTGGGACACACGGGTAAGGATTTATACAATTCCCTAGTCACAATTATAAGAGTAACTAAAGTAGAATCCTTGTTATTTAAATGGGGAGAGACCAAAAAATCATTCTCCAACAAAGAAAGTTTGCTTGATGTTGTCTCCTGTATGTTGAGTTTTGAAGTTTAAGGGCACATCTTCACAGCATGCTGGTACACCACTGCTATTTGCGGAGCAGTTTGACAGCAGGCCACACGTCACCCCCTAAATTACATTACAGCTTGTTTTTCTCCTTCGTGACTGTGCTGCAATGAGACACGGTGCAGACGCTTTGGCACAGCATTACAGCAAACGTGAACATACGACACAGTCTTCGGTAAGACAACGAAGTGGGCCTCCAGCAACACGGGAGCCAGAGGAGCAGGCAGTGACAGTGGTCACGGCTGTGTCACGTAGCTCGGCTCCGGCTTTCAGAGAAGCCGGGAATCGGAGCCGCCTTTGCCACGCTGGTGCTGCTCCCGTGACGCGGACACGGCGGCGGGCGCACCCGCGGCAGCGGCCCCAGGGCAGCGGCCACCTCGGCCACCCCGCTCCGCCCCCAGCCACGACACCAACCGCGGGGGCGGCGGCAAGGAGGGCAAGGAAGGCCCCTCCGGTCTCTGCGGCCCGGGGACAGCCCGTTCCCCCGGGGCCTTGCCTCGGGACAGCGAGCCCGGCCCTGCCCGCGGCCCCGCGCTCACCTTCGGCGTCCGCCGAGGAGACGAAGGTGAAGTCCCCGCTGCTGGGCGCGTAGAGCGGCGGCTGCTGAGCGCCCGGGGGCTGCATCTCCCCGCCCTCCGCGGGGGCTGCGGGGCCGGCGAGAGGCGAGCGGGTGCCGGGGCCTGGGGCCTCCCGGGTCCCTCCTGCGGCGGCGGCGACACCGAGCCCAGGGCGCAGCCGCCTCACGGGGCGACAACAAGCGGCGCCGCCCCTGCCATTGGCTGCTCGCAAGGCGCGCCCGGACTGGCCGCCGGTGCTCCAGCGCTGACTGGATCCCGGCGCTGGCCCGGGAGTGAGGTCACTTCCACTCGCGCCAAAGCTCCGCCTCCTGATGGGCCGAACCAACTAACTTTTCCTTCCTTCCTTCCTTCCTTCCTTCCTTCCTTCCTTCCTTCCTTCCTTCCTTCCTTCCTTCCTTCTTCCTTCTTTTTTGCTGTAAGGCATGCTTTTGACTGACCTGCAGAGTGACCTATGTAGCACTAAAGAAGCTGTAAAATAATACACTTGAGATGTTGTTGCCATTCCCTGTTATAATAAGAAGACAAACACTGGCTCTGGTTGTGGTCTGTGCTTTGAAGAATCAGAAAGTGGGATCTCATTTTTCCTGTGTTCAATGACTTTACAGAAAAGCTCCCAGATAACTCCACTTAGGCGTAGCGGGTAAATCCATCCCTTTGCTCCCTATTCAACACCAACATTTCTTCTGAGAGGACACTTTTTTTTCCCTGGCATCTCGAGGCTTAAATGTGTCATTCGTGCTACTTATATTTAATTCTATTTCATACATAGATCTCATTAAGTGCAATGGGATATAAATATAAATGTATTATAAACTGGAAAAGTTACAGGCCCATAAATAGCATTAGAGCAGTAGTTTGATTTGTAGAAGGAATCTTCTTTTTCATATATATCCCATTAAAGAAAATCACTGAGAGGTCCATCTCAAAAAAATTTTAAAGAATAAAACCCGATCTGTTTCTTATGGAGAGAACATGGCTGGAAGTTCCTACATAGCCATATCCAAGGATCACTCAAATTTGCATGTATATGAAATATGATTTGGGTTCAGGTTCTCTGTGGACGTTTTACAACAATTATCAGTTTCCTTGCAGCAGCAGGGAAAAAAAAATCATGTATAATTGCACATAACCTATTTTTAAATCAAAAATTGTCTTGATAGTACAAAATGCCCCTAAGGATACTTGTATAGTCAGAGTTTCCCTTTTAAAAGGTGAGCAGTCAGAACATCTGTTAAGAGCGCTTCATTTTCTTAGCTGTTACATGGAACTTCTTTGTTACAAGACTTTTGCAATGGGCTTCTTTCAGTTTCTGATGTCTTTTTCTCTTTACTCAGTTACAGCCAGCCTGTCAGAGTTCAAGGAGCTTTAGTCATATGATTTATTTCTAGGTAATCCTGCAAGGAGGTGGGAGTTGGATCTGTTCATCCTTATGGATTCTTTACAATTTGAGACATTCCATGATTCTATTATTATATTTAATTACACTGCTATGAGTGTGCTGTTCCTATTGTTGTTGGGATGCTTTGGATGCTTCTGGAAACTGCCCTCTGGAGGATGCCGGACAGGTCTGCTATTGGACAAATTTCAAATAATTAAATAATAGAATTATGCAACCATTTAAGCTGGAAAGGACGCTTCAGATCAAGTCTAACTATGCCCTTAAAACTACTAAGTCCACCACTAAACCACAACTACACCTTTTTGAATGCTTCCAGAGGTGGTGACTCCACCACTTCCCTGGACAGCCTGTTCCAATGTCTGACCACTCTTTCAGTGAGGAAATTCTTCCTTTAGCCAATCTAAACCTCCTCTGGTGCTTGAGGCCGTTTCCTCTCATCCTGGCACTTGTTATTTGGGAGAAGAGGCAGACTCCTGCCTTGCTACACATCCTCCTTTCAGGCAGTTATAGAGACCAACAAGGTCACCCTTGAGCCTCTTTTTCTCCAGGCTAAACACCCCCAGCTCCCTCAGCCACTCCTTACAGGACTTGTGCTCCAGACCCTTCACCAGCTCTGTTGCCCTTCTCTGGACGTGCTCCAGCATCTCAATGTCTTTCTTGTAGTGAGGGGCCCTGAACTGGACACAGCACTCAAGGTAGATCCTCCCCAGTGCTGAGTACAGGGGGACAATCCCTGCCCCAGTCCTGCTGGCCACACTATTGCTGATACAGGCCAGGATGCCATTGGCCTTCTTGCCCCCCTGAGCACACACACTGGATCATGTTTAGCCACTGGCAACCAGCACCCCCAGGTCCTTTTCTCCCAGGCATCTTTCCAAACACTCTTCTCCAAACATATAATGCTGCAAGGAGTTGTTGGGACCCAAGTGCAGAACACAGCACTTGGCCTTGTTGAACTGCATACCACTGGCCTTGGCCCACTGATCCAGCCTGTCCAGATCCCTCTCTGGAGCCTTTCTTAGTTGCTGGTTTATTTGTTTGCTTCCTTGGTTTTATTTTTTTCTTTTATTTAACTACATAAAGGCATGGCAACAAAGAATGCCATGTCAAGGAATTGCTTGCACTTAAGGCAAACCTTTCTCTTACCTCATTGCAATTCTTATTTATTGAAATAGGATTTTAAGCTGTTCAGTATTTGTCTCCTAATAAGACCAACAGCATACACTGCTAGAACAAAACTTGGTGATTTGGGGCACAGAAGTAGTGTACCTCTTGATAAACACAAGAAGTAGTCCTCAGGGCACTGTAAAGGAGGAGACAAAAGAGAAAGAGATGAAATATCACACTGGATCAGCTTTGAGGAGGAAGCTTGGGACAATGATAATTAATGACAGAATATTATGCAATAAGATGAGTCACAAATGCACATTTTATTAGTGTGCCAAAAAGGAGCAGTGACAAATGAGGATTCATGACAAGCTGGGTGACTAGTTCTGTCTCTCCTTATTTCATGCACTGGACCCTGCATGTGCTGTATGATTTTCTAAGTGAAATACATGTAGGTTGATGTGAAACAGAAGACAATTTTGTGACACTGCTGGTACCTAGGAAAGATGAGATATTGTTCACTATTTGGAAATATTTTCTGTATTTTCTCATTGTCTGATTCTGACTGTTATCTCTGAACACAAACAGTTAAGTAATTCAACTTCTCTACTTTCAGTAGACTATTTATAAATACATTCATTATTATTCATTATCTACTTTTAAACATAATTTTGATAATACAAGAAAACTTGATGTAATTATTTCCATTTCTAGGGATTTTCTGACCAGCTGAGATCCAAATGGAATTTCACATCAAAGAGACACTGAAGGAGACAAAGGATAGATGTTCTACTCGTGCCTATGTAAAATAAGTATGAGTAGGTTTTTAAGAGTTGCTCTTCCGGATGCTCTGTCATACATGAGTAGTGAAGGATCAAGAAATCCACCTGATCCAAACACTCTGGATTTTTCTTAGAGTTTGCTCAAATATTAAGATGTTGGTCTCCTCCTTTCAGCCTCCTTCCTGTCCCCTGCCTGAGCTGTGCCAGCGGAGGGCACTCTAGCACTGCTTTTGTCGGGTGAGACCTTGTCCGGAGTTCTAGTTCAGGTTTTTTTTTCCTGGGGGGAAAAAAAGTGCTTCAAGCCAGCTGAGTAGCGCTGTTTCGCCCAGACGCCGCTGCTAGATTTCTCAGCAATTCCTGCATTTTGTCGTTGGGCACGCTTCAGAAATTGCCTTTAGTTATTAAGGCCCACACCACATGTAAATATGTGAGCAATCTTAAAGTGTTCTGTTTGGTCTGTTGAAGTTTAGGGTATGTTATAGCTCTCTGCACATAGCCACCCTTCCATGTATTTTAACTGCTGGCAAAGGCTGGTTTCATTCCCACCACCAGTGGGATTTTGCTTTCCCTCTGGCTTACTGTATGGTAGAAAGGGAAAGGGAAAAGGGAAAGGAAGCATTTCAACAGGCTGTAATAAGCTGTGCTGCATAAAAATACATTTTGGATCATCACAAACACAACCTGTCTGCCATTAGGAAAGGCTCCTCTTTAATAATAATTTTAGACATTCAAGAATCATGCATGATGTGAATTTACCAAAGCATATTGTAATAATTATTGTGTGAAAAGGAAGTCAGAACCACTGATATTGAGAGTCATCTTCTGATTTCCTTGGGAAGTTTGGAGCCAACTGCCATGATGAGGCAAGTAGGCTGACTGCTGTGGATTTTTATTCCTAATGACTCAGAGTAATATCAGATTAGGTTAATTGTTATAATATAAATCATCCACTTTGAAATTCCTTTTATATTTGCATCTAGAGTTGTTAGAGCTTCTCTTTGGGCTTGCCTCACTGTATCTAGTTGCTTGAGTCAGTGCTGCTTAAATTAGTGAGGCCTGGCTTCTTGGAACAGTATGACTGTTTAGTTTAGCCCAGATATCAAAGTCCCACAATAAACACCTCATTCATTAATTAAAATTACCGTCTTTTAATGAAGCCATTAAAGAATGAATGAATGAATGAATGAATGAATGAATGAATGAAATGCATTGTAGATACACTCATTTCTACTGGTAGCAGAAATATTTACTAGCTGAACCATTAATTCTGAATAGAAAAACAAGTTTTTCATAGCTGTATCATAGATTTCAAATACTTATGAACAGGGACTTGCTTTACGTCAAGAAACCATTCTCTGTTTTTCTGACAACAGAAAGGCATTGCACAATTTACTCTGTAAGCAAACATGATATTAAGTAATTGTACAAGGAAGAAACTTGCAGAGCAAGTACACTCAGATAATATGGAGGCAGTTTTTGACAAGCACTACAACACTGCTGCTTTCTCATTTTTTACACCATAATAAAATATATTGTGCTGAGAATGTGAATGTTTTAATAACTTCTGAAGTTTGTATACTACTACAACTTGAAAATCCTACAACTTACTTAGAAAAGTAATTTCTTATACATTTGCACTGAAGTCGTGATATGTTCTGTATCCTAAATGCCACAAAGAATCAGAGTGCTCCTTTCAAGTTAGTAATACATACCATGGTCAAGCCAACCAGACAGACTGACCCCAGAACTGACTAATCTGCATGAACTGCCATTCAGATTGCAAAGGTGACACAGTTCCCCTCTCTGACATACTGCTGGCTTTCTGTGAGGTCAGTCACTGGACACCAAGGTTGAAAAGTTTGAATGTTTGCAAGGGCCACACAATCTAGTAACTGAAATGGATATGGCAATTCAAATGTCTGCCT